GAGTCTTCATGACACTCAACGATTGCATGCTATTGGGATGTTCTAAATACGCGTGCTCACTTTTCAGTAATATAGGCGATGGTTATATTGCCAGTTGATGAAGATTATCAAGAAAACAACCTTGAAGGGATTTAAATAAAGCAGACAACAGTTGACGTAAGTTTTATAACAATAATGGAGTTTGTCACGCAAAATACTATTACTTTCGCATGAGTTAGCATAATGGATAGTATATCTCAGGTATCCTAAACAAACGTTATACGAGGTGATAATTTTTAATTAAAACAATTTTCTACAAAACAAGCGATGAGTGTGATGTACATGCCGTCTTCATTGTCTATTTATGGGTGTCGGCGTACAGTGGTGACCGAACTTAAACGGAAGGCGCGAACTTTGTGTTTGCTCATGGCAGCACTTTCCTGGAGGAAGCTAAACAACGGCTCCTTGGGGTAGCATTTCTGGATTGTGTGTTTGGTGATAGGTCACGAAAGCGTTCCTCCGCTGCCACCAGGCATGAGGGAAAAGGCACAATTCACGTGTTCCTTATAAGGTTGGCGAGCATGAGACGGGAGGATAACCGTTATGATCAAAAGCACTAATCAACTAAAATATATTCATTGAGTTTCAAGTGTGTGGTCTGATTGGCCCTTAGTGCGGTATCGACGGCAATTACAATTATATTCTAGACAATCTGAAAAGAAAATTAAAACAACGATCTATTTTAACATATTCATGGACACGTTTTTGCGTTTCTCCTTTGGAATTATATTTTAAAACTGGGCAGAAAAAGAGCGCCGGAAGTCCTGCCATCAGTGAAGCTGAGAGGAGGGACGTAGTTTTTTCAGTCACGTTGTCATGACTACCTCGGCATCCGACAAAGACGCGCTGCCGAGAGAGTGCCGATAGGTTTGAAAATAAGCACTCATGCAAAGTCATCTTAATCACTTTAAACCCCTCTAGTGTGCAGTGCAATAAAAGCGTCAAATAGGAAAATAAATATAGCGATTCTTATCTTACTTCTCTTCCGTGGGAATAAACCCTTTTCAAACCTTTATCAAACTTTATTGATGAACGCCATTTCTTGGACACCAGGTGATCGGATCTGAGCCCTCGCCGAACGTTAACGCAGCCCTCGTTTTCGATAAAACGGAGACGATTTTACTCCGAGCGCTGAGACAGCTCTCGTGTCTAATACATGCTGAGAATAGGTAAAAAGAAAACAAAACAAAAAAGAAAAAGACTTTGCTACTTTGAATCATTTTCGCAACAGCTCCTAGGTGGCGCGCATTTTTAAATAAGGTTCAGTGAACTTGATAAAATTAACTACCCGTGACTACAGTTCAAAAAAAGAAGTCTTTGATAATCATTTTATTACAAGCACAAACCAAAAAAGTTGTTTCTTCTCTGCGCGACGACGACGTTTTACGAGTGAGTACGTAATAGCGGTCGTAGGAATACGGGCATGTAGGACCAGGTAGTAGTACGTAGTATGAAGTGTACGTAGGACCTGTCGTCTCTAAGGGCCAGGAGATTACTTTCCTCTTGAATTTCGTAGTTTAGTTGTTTTCGTCCGGTCATTTGAGTAAGGCCAGCACATGTCCTACCACTTCTTCAACCTCCAATGGCTGATGTCAATGTCTGGAATTTCGGAGCAGTTTACCTTCGGATTCCTGCAAAGTAAAACGGTGATGAAAAAAAAAAAATGAGAGACGTTTACAATCCCCTGTAATGCCGAATTAGAGCGCAGCTCTTGAGGAAAAGGAAGGGAGGGTACGGAGAGCAGGATGCCCTCCCCTCCTCCTCTCCCTCCCTCCCTCCTCCATTGTGACGTCACTCGTGACCCTAGGGACCCTCGTGACGTCACTTGTGACCCTCGTGACGTCAATCGTGACCGTAGAAGCCTTCACGAGTAACCTTCGTGACGTCGCTCGCGGCCCTCGGGACGTCACACGCGACGTCACGTATGACGTCATTATGGGAAAGGTCCCATAATGCAACACGCGGTTAGGCCAACGGCAACGGCGATGCCGCTGAAGCCAGAAACGGGAGCCTAAGAACTGCGCTCTAAAAGAACAAAAAAATATTGTCACCGACATTCATGAGAGTGTAACCACGGCGTCGGAATCTATAGAACAGCTTCTTGTATAGTCACCGCCAGCTTAAGCAAAGCAGGGCGTTTTGATTCACGAGCATCACTTGGTTTCAGGTGTGAGATGTTTTAGGGAACCGTTTCTGCACATCCGAAACGGTACGGTGGGCCCTCCGATACGAAATACGCATATGCGAGTCTTCTGCGATAGCGCATGCGGAGTTCGTACCGGAGGGCCCATCGTACCTTATCGGATGTGCAAAAACGGTTCCCTAAAACTCCCTATTACATTCCGACCGCGGCCCACGCTACTGTTCAGGGGAGCAAATCAAGGAATGTCGAAAGTGCATCGTAACGGTGCTTCTCATCTTTTTGCTGCGTCATGTTTGTGTGTGCGTAAGTGGCTAAACCAGTCACGCATAAACAAACCAAAGAGCAAAATCATGGAGCATTCAGTGTGTAGGTTTGGTCTAACCTACGATAGCAAACGCAAGAAAAAAGTAGACGAGTGCCATGTCGATAGACTTTAGGCACTGTTTGTTTGGTTTCATTCCGTCGTATACCATTGGGCGCGGTCGGCCATAATGTGAAATGTAGTCAAGTGGCATTCAGGGTGTACAAACACTGATTTCTACAAACGCAGTCTCTTAACGCGTCGAACTTTCGTCCCCGTTTCTCATGTGCGCCACCGGACGGCGCCACTTTCGTCGAGGCCGGCGACGTCCGTCAGCTACGCGGAGAGTTGAACGCTTAGCAACTCCAGCGAAGCTTCGCACGTTCTGACGTGACAGTTTACCATGGCACCTTTTAAAGGGTGGGGGATAGTCTTGGCGTTATAAAGGGTTAGTGCCCGTTCAAATAAATAAATAAAGGGCTTTTGCCAGTGTTATTTGTTAGCGTTCATGCGAATAACACGTGCTTTCTTTCTTCCCAGAGAAAGGAACACGTACGTGCTGGGCCGTGGAATGGTAAACATTAGATTGTATACACAGCGGGCCCTCAGATTCAAGCTCACTATTGGCTTTTTTAGAATAAAAAGAAAAGGAGATAAAAGCCACGGCCTTGACCTGCCATTTAAATATATAGTATATGCTCACGAAGCACACTTACACGTACTGTAAGTACGGTAAACTACTTTATTTTCTGGGGATCAATATTTCGAGAATTTAGCGAAATGTGGTTTTCAGAAATATCTCGAGAATCACAGTCAAAGTTTCATAGAAACCAAGTTTTGAATATCTTCTACATAGTCGGCATTGCCAAAATACATGCCGTTTGCTGGATGGAGAGCACTGACAATCCGCGGGTCCTTTTAAAGCCGTAGCTTTGTAGGCCCAAGAACACTCAAGGTCGCGTCCTAGACGTGGTCCTTGAGGCCGCCCTAGAGGTCATCCTCGACGTAATCCTTAAGGTCGTCGTAGATGTCGTTCTCTAGGACGCCTTCCTCGATGTTGTCCTAGACGCCGCCCCTGACGTCGTCCTAGTGATCGTTCTCGACGTCGTCCTAGACGCCGTCTTTTAAGTTCGGTTGGAGGTCGTCCTCGACGTAATCCTAGACGCCGTCCTTGATGTCCTACTAGAGGTCGTCCTAGACGCCGTTCGTAATGTCGTTTTAGACGTCGTCCTAGACGCCGTTTTGATGTCGTCCTCGATGTGTGACGCCATATTACAGCCATTTCATCAGCGTACCATTTTCTTTCCTAATTGTTTTCAACGACAATCTTCAGGTAAAGCTACAGCATTTCACCGCGTTTGACAGTGTAAACAATTATTTTTTGTCAGGTAGCTGGGGCACCTTAGACATTTCGTTGGCACCGCGTGTTTTGCCACATAGGCTTCCCGTAGAACGCTTACGAGAACGTGACCTTTGTCGACAGCTTCACACGATTCGGTCACAAACTTGGACTCGAAGTCTTTCCCGCAGAACAAGTCTATCGGCTGAAGTAAGCGATCTTTGCGCGAGATAGCGTGATGATACCTTCAAGCCGTCTTCTTCCTTGTCGAGTAGCAAAAATGGATAGCTCCTACGTGTATGTCTCGTCCCCGGTGTTGCACCACCGTGGCACGAAGCACTTCTTCCCCATTACAGGCAACTTCTGGAAACCAAAACCGGCCAGAAACTACGCGAGAACCACGCGAAAACCGCGTAAAACTACACGGGGTTATGCCACGAGGCACGCTACCCCTCATGAAAGGACAGCCTCCTCTGTTAGGACGCGCCACTAAGCCAGAGGTTCAGGGGGCTGGCCGATTTTCGACACGGTGGATCTTCGGCGGAGGCGCAACGTTACGGCATTTGAAGCATTTTTAACACCGTGGTGTCATTGCTGCATTAGCTGATAGGAAAGCTGAAGATCAAATCATAAAAAGAGAAGGGCAGAGATTACCAGCCACACTCTTCGTGCCTTGAGCTGCCAGTGTCTGGAGACAGTCGTGAGCACAAGAACGCGCGAACAAATGGTCGAAAGCTTCAGTTTTTTTCTTTCATTCCAGCCTCTACATACGTGAACCAAATTTGCGTACACATTACTTTACTTCGCTAGTTTTGGGCATTTTGGTTCAGACACATCAGATAAAGGTGCTGTGATTAGTTTTTATCAACAGGTTAGTTGTTCTACTCCTTCTTTTTTGCAGCGTATTTGTGGACTTTTATTTTCAATAAAAGCTTAAGTGTGTGAAAGACGAGATTGGGAGAAAATAATTGTAGATCTATGGTCGCTGACAACCCAAGAAACTCAGAGTGTGGCTTAGCATCCTCACGCTTCCTGCTTCTTGATTGGTTCGCCGGCATTATTATCAGCTAATGCTGCAGTCTCATTGGTTCCGGAGGGATAATTCGATGCTCGTGACTCGTGGGACCCTGAGTAGCCGTCAGTGACTATGGTAATCACGCGCCATGATTGATACTTACCCTGGGCCCTCCGGAATGAATGGGTTTCTCTGGACGGCGGTGATACTTCTGCTGTTTGCGCAGATGATGCCGGCGTACGTCGTGTTTCTCAGGGAGTCCAGTTGAGCTGCAGGATAATGAGGTTTAAGTTACGACTGGAATCAATACAATATCGCCAGTTTTATGGGACTTCACACTTTAAAAATCTCTTGCTCGCATATTGCACTGCCAGAGTGTCGAAGCAATAACAATCGGTCTTCGTTTAATAGATTTTCGCCTATGGGAAGCGGGCTCTTTTTTGAGCCCCCATGGTCTTGCAGTCAGGGTGGCAAGAAGCTGTTTGTTCTTAGTTGTAAAGCGTGATATTGTTTCCTTCCGCTTAAGAAAGCGGATTAAAGAGTAACAAGATTTGGTCTTCTTGGATTATTGCAGCATAGGGTGCACTCAGGGGCTTCTCAGAGTGTACATCAGAAAAGATAACTTTTCGATAGCTTGCGGGGTGACTAAAATAAGCTATGGGCTCTTATTCCAATAGGTTTGAAACAGAATACATTAGAACGTGGTTTCAAGCCGCAATCATTTTCAGTCGAGGAGATGCGAGTCCAGAAAATTAAAAATTTGTCTAGGTCACCCAAAGTTTCACGTTTTCGATTTTAGTCTACGGAAACGTACTGCTAGGACATGTGACTGTCTATTGGTTGGAAGATTAACGTTGGTATTTTGCACAATATTCGCTCTCACTTGCATGCTTAAAAGCTAAAATAAATGGAATACGTTCACCTCAGCCCAAAACTTTTGCGCCCTCCAACACCGAACACGTAGAAAGGCCTCACGCTCCGACGTCTAAGAACGCGTGCGTACTTTACCTACTGGTCTCTGCTATGCGCACAACGACTTCAAGGATTTGTCTTTGAAATATTACCAGAGTTGTAAATAAATTCAGCACGTTGTTAAGTATTTCAGCTTGTGTTTCTATGACTAGAGCGCTTGATCATTATTTCTTTCGTGCTCTGACGCGACTCTATATTTTATTTCTTACAAAATGACTTCTCTTCAATGAGTACATTGTTTGCTAACACGCACTTGTTTGCACAAGTGCCAAATTCTATATAAGTGCGCGGGTAAAAGTGCAATGTTGATGAAAACTGGTTGGAGCTAGAGTAGAAGGCTGGCGGTTTTTTCTGCAAGGTCATAGCGGGGGAAACATAACTGTGGACGCTGCTCCCTCGCGTTCAACCTGCGCTTCGCATTTCTATCGATTTTTCGGTCATTTGGCGCCTAAAGTTTAGTTAGTATCTTGTTGAGATTCATCTATAACACGTACTTAGAGTCTTGATAAAACCATGGTTATATATTTTTTTTATTTTTTAACTTTTAGTGCCAAGTTTAGGGGCTAGTCGCAGTAAGAAAAAAGCGAGTGGCAACTCGATTGACAGATGTTTGACCGCCCAATTTGTGCTTTGTCGAAGTTCTCCCGGAAAGATGTGTTCACCTATACTTTCAAAGATTTAAAACCATACAGTCCAAACACTACAAGCGTTTGTGCCAAAGATACAGCACATAGAGCGGCCATGAATTAATTAAAGCATCCGGCCAAACGACGGGTTTGTTTTATGGTTTACACTCACCCCTTTTTAATTAGAAGATTCGCCGCACGCAAAAAGACACATTCTAAAAGTAGGATACCTTGCGTGAACGATCCTGCCTGGTCGGCATGTTCGTAGAAGAACCGATCACCCCACTTCAGTCTCTGGAACATTTTATTCGTGATGCAGTGCACCGTGGCACTAGCGACGGTTCCTTCGACGACATACTCCGCAATGGCCCCGGAAAACAAATCAATGTCACTGACGTTTCTGCGTGAACAACAAAATAATCAAATTGTGGTCGTCTGAATTCGAGGGAAAGCGTCAAAGGCACTAGAATACACGTCGACTACACTCATGGAGGTTATAGCGAGACGGGTATAGGTAGGAAGTTTCAAACATCTCCCTCCTATATCTCTAATAACGATATCTGATAACAATATGATGCATATTTAAAGGTTTCGGTTTAGTATTGGATGTACGGCGTGCAAGATCGTCTGCTCCTTGCTCACGCCGGGCGTTTGCTTACCCCCAAACGCGCCAATGTGTCTTTGTTTCTCCCCCACCTGAACCATTCCTGGCGCGCGCTTGGCTGCCTCGTCATCGAGCATTTGCTGCGTGTTCTGTATGTAGCCTTTGACTGGCGTGTCCAGCCATGCGTTCCGACACGCCAAAGACACATTCTTGAACACTTTCTCGCCGTACTGTTTTCGTAGTTACCGGAACGATCTACTAAATCTCCATAGTATTTCCTTCAATTGCTTGCCTAAATTCGAGCGTCGCATTTGGTGGAAGGAGTTTCTTAATGAGAGATATAAACTAGGTGTGGATCATTTCAAAAGGCATGGGTCCTTGAAATAGAAATGAAGAAAATACAAGAGAAATACATGAAGCTGTAAGGGAAAGCAGGGAGCTTCAACACAGAGCCTTGCATCGGCTGTGCTTGTGTTGCGGGCAGGCAACAAAACAAGCAGTATAACCGGCACATAAATGTAGGTGTTCAAATGCTCTCCAATTTTGACATTATCGCTTTCGCGCCTTTATGCAGATACACAAACCGAACTGAAAGTGGTCCATTATCATGGTAAAACATTTAAGGATTACAATGATAATGAAAGTGCGTTAAGTAATCCTAACCTAACTTGACGTAACCTAATTTAACTTAATCAAACGCAGCCTTAAGGGTTAGGGCACGCTCCTTGCTAAAGTTATGTAAAGGCTAAATTAGTTGTATATTCTATAAAATGTCTTCAAAACAATACTTGTAGATATTCTGGAATATCTCCGCCGTGTCTTTGGGCATCAGGTTCTTCAAGTAGAGATCGTCAAAGGTGTTTATCTTGACTCCTGAGCAGAACTCGACGTAGTCTGGGTAGCCTCTAACGCCAAGGTCCCGTCCCCGCTGGACGTCGACGGAAATTAAGTCAAGGCCGAACTTGTTTGGCGGTTTTATGAACAAGTACTGATTGATGTCGGGGCTTGCAAACCTGTGGCGAGATTGGGTGTCACAACAAAAACGAACAGAGTAGTCAGAGAGCATAGAAACAGTCTTGTTTTAGAGCAGACCGACATAAGCGTACAAACAAAATATCGATGTAGACCAATATAACGGGATGACTTGACTGAGTACCTTTTCGAACCTCGAGATCAAAGTAATTCTGTTTGTGCACGCTTTTAGACTCAAAGAGCACCAAAATATAGAGTTCAAGACTCAAAGGGGGTCTAAAAAAATGAAAGCCGTTTACAACTCCCTGTAATGCCGAATCGGAGCGGAACTCTTGAGGAGGAGGAGGGGAAGGTACGGAAAGGGGGCAGTGTCCCTCCTCTCCTGCTCGCCTCCCATTTAGGGAAACATTCTCCGCTAAATTTAGCGGGGAAATTTTTTCGCTAGATCTGGCGGGAAGTTTTTTCCGCTAGCGGGGAAAATTTTTTGGTGAATTTAGCGTGGAATTTTTTCGCTAAATTTAGCGGGGAATCTTTTTCGATAGATTTAGTGGAGGAAATGTTCCGCTAAATTTAGCGGAGAGCTTTTTCCGCTTAATATAGCGGGGAATTGTTTCTGCTAAATTTAGCGGGAAAATTGTTCCGCTAAATTTACCAGAGAAAATCTCCCGCTAAACTTAGCAGGGAAAGTTATCTGCTAAATTTTGCTGGGAAAATTTCCGCTAAATTTAGCGGGGAACTTTTCTCTGCTAAATTTAGCGAGGAAATTTTTCCTCTAATTTTTCTGCTAAGTATAGCGGGGAATTTTTTCACTAAATTTAGCCGGGAATTTCTTGTGCCAAATTTAGCGGGAACAATTTTCTGCTAAATATAGCTGGAAAAAGTTTCTGCTAGATTTAGCGGGAAAATTTTCCCCCTAAATCTAATGGGGAAATTTTTTCGCTAAATTTAGTAAGGAAATTTACCCATCATGCACCGCGCGGTTACGCCGACGCGGACTGCGACGGCGGTGGTGACGGCGACGGCGACGGCGACGCCGCTCAAGCCGGAAACAGGCGCACAAGAGCTGCGCTCTAAAATGAAGTTAGACCCTAAGGCCGTCTAGTGTCACCGCTGTAGATGAGACAATTCGTCAGTGAAGTACGTCTGCTATAGCTTGTGTCTTCAACGTGCATGACGCAGTAATGATACACCACCGCACGCTGGTACAATGCTCCTCCAGATTGAATCAAGCAGGCTGAGATTGAACCCGGAATCCCTGGGTTCTGCAGCGCATGCTTTCGGTCCACTTGTTCCGAGCTGCTCTTTTCTAACGCGCTCGACTACCAATCCCACTGAGACCCTAGATCTGTTGCAGATTTTTTTAAAGGAAACCTATTTATTTAGTATAAAGTTGAGTTTCTTAATGAAACGTCGTCTGACAGTATGACGTTGTCATATTTACAAAAAAAAAAGTGTAATGCCGGTAAGGAGATAATAAATATTTTGTTTTGCTTCCTTCTTGTAACTGCCAAGAAAGCATGTTTTATGTTTAATCATACCCTGTGCTTCTTCGTTCGCTGGGATTTTTCCGTTCTTCGTGGTGAATATCAACATGTGTGTTTTGCAGGAAATCGAACGCGCAGGCTCTTTCTAGATCAATGTCTTCTTATATGGTTCTGTGACGCCGTGAAGCAAAGCACAATCGCAAAACGGTGCCCGAACCTTTACGGTGTTACTCAACCCACGTTCTGCGGATATCTTTTTTCCGAAATGAAAGGCATCTTTAGCGTCTGTTTAAAGCTCCTGAAGATGTAACAATTAGCGTTTTCAACAGTGATATGAATACGATTATTGTCACCGATGGTTTAAGGGGCACAGGGAGTGGCGAGTTCCAGGTATCTCGCTATCGCTCAGCACCCAATGACATTGCGGTATCAATATCGATGAAGCAATCACATAGCAAGACGCGTGAGCACAAAAAAAGCAGTCATCTTTTTCGTCAGCTGAGTGACTATACCGAACCTGTCTGCATATATTCGCCATTAAGGGGAAGAAAGTTGCTATACTTCTTTACAGCTTACGTCCAGACGTAGCCGGCGCCACGAGGTATCGGGGAGAGTCAAGAAGCGTCAAAAACGTAAGTCATTTGGCGTTTTCTATTTATGAATGGCTCAGCGATGATAAAACACGTTGAACACCATAACAGTGCACTTCTGACGCTGTCTCATTGGTTCCACCAGCTCCTAGCGTCGACTGCGTCTGGACTTAAAGTGAGACTAAGTGTAGGGGTCTACTCGCCTGTCAAATGAATCCATTGGGGTCAACAGCATACCACGCATGATGTCGTCCAACTCGTTCTGGTACAAGCCGAATGGTTGAAAGTACCAGTCTCTTAGCAGACCGACCTGTTCGTGGCCATCAGCGTTTACTCTGAAATATATAGGAGTTAGATCTTTGGGTTTCCTGAAATGCTTCAAGCGAGGCGCCGTAGCCGTTGGTAGAAATGCAAACAAAAACACGCGAGACCAAAATAAAAAAAAAAAAATAAAAAAGATGGAGAAAACCCGTTTATAACATATTTAATTATTCGGACCGCCCAAAGATACCTGTCTAAAGTGAGCCTGTGCTTTTGACACTGAAGTTCAGTCATTGACCAGTCTTTAGTCATTTCAACTAAGAAAAAAAAATGTAATGAGGATTGTCACGCGGTCTCCGCGGAAAAAGCGACGCATATCGTTTTTCCACTAAGACTTTTTCACCGTATACAAAATGCGATTTGGTAGAAATAGAAGGAGCTATACTTAGATGTGTTAACTTCAGTTCCTTGATCAATGGAATGAGCTTATCATCTTAAGAAAGTTACCTGACCACAGGAAACGCAATGTGGTTCATTAGTTACACAGAAGTGTTAACAAATTGAAAGTAAACGTAAGAATTACTGATGTTTTTATAATGGTGTTGACGGGAAGTGCTTACACCCGATTCTGGTAGCAAAAAAAAAAAAATCATTCCTCACGGCAAGTTTTTTTAGCCTGTATTTCATTGGAACTAATCTGATCTTTGTAGGCTTTGCATCCATGTTATTCATTTAACGAATACACAGTAAAGGAGGGGTTTCGTAATTTTTCCTCCGACTAACCGAAGGAACGTTCCGCTGACGAGAGAGTGTCCCATTCTGAATGCCGCTCCGGGAAACTCGTCGATTATGGTGGCGTCCACGCTGCTGTTGTACGTGGTGAATCCCGTCTGCAATGGCATCAGGTCGTACTTTTCGACAGCGTCGCGACCCGCGAAAGTTGGTAGCCACTCTCCATATACCACGTGTTGGAATTGAGACTCCACGATGCGCCTGCAAGAAAGTAAGAAATCTTCCATTCGCGGCTGCGAATCTATTTTAGCATCGTATCTTTCTCTTTTCTGTCTTTGTACTAAAAAAGTGACAGTTATCTAGGCGCGCTATACGTATATAATTATAAAATAATAACAGTATTAGAAAGCCCACATCCATCATATTTTCCAAAAAGAACTTAGAGAGAAAGTTACTGACGTCGCCGCCGTTCCAGGTACCAATTCGCTGGAAAGATGTTTCGGCGTAAAAATCAAGTTCCCGATGGAAAACTGTGGATGGCGCCCACCACAATAACGTCATAATAGGCCTCACATCGAAAACGTTTTTGTAGCTTTTACAATTATCTTTATTTTCGCAGTGTAATTTCTTATTTAGTAATAATTTTCTCTTCGTTGCAGATAAAAATGTTGCCAAAAAACAAGAAAAAAAAAAAAAAAACTCTTTTAGCCTTTCCCTTTTGGGGAAGAAGGAAGACCAGCGAAGCTGTACTATGGTGGAAATGAAGTAACGGCTGGCCGCAAGTCGGCAAGCCGGAGTGCAAAGGCTCGTAAGGTAGCGCCATCTATGAGCAACGGCGGCAAGCGGACAACCGGTAAACACAACACTCCGGTCAGCTACCGCCATCTGTGAGCGACGGCGGCAACCAGAGTTTTGTGTCGACATTTTTTTTTGCGGGGGACACGATTCTAAGGAAACTAACCCTTAACAGCTCCGCCGTAAAAAAAAAAAAAAAAAAAAAAAAAAAAAGAAATCGGGATAGACGGTTTGATGAGTGCCTGGCCCCAAAGGCATTCTGAAGCAGTTGCAGAGAACATTAAAAAAAACATGTTTTTGCTGCACGTCGAGCAGATCCAACCAAAATAGTTTTGTTAATTATCAGTCGAATTTAAATACACCAGGTCTATGTTGACGCAAATACATGCAAAATGAAGAGGACTTGCTACATTAACAACTTAACCGAATGCGTGCTGTTACGGCGTACGTATATATACAGAACCAAATATCAGTGCACTATGACAAAGTTCTACATTATGGTACATAATTTATTATTACTCAATTGATCTATATCACTATTGTGAGAAATTAATAAATTAAGAAGTCTTGGGATTTGGTAAGCTGACTTTGTTTTGCGATATCGCACTGATTGATTCCCAAAGTGACCTGTAACAAAGTAGACAGAGTGTTGTATCTAAGAGTAAGCTCGAGATGCCAATGACTTAGGGGTATTACTCACCGCAAAACACGTGACGGACGGAATATTGTTAGCGGCACACCAGATTCTTAGAGGGCGCAAGATGAGCTACATATCAGGCGGAAGTCAAGTATATCTTACGTAGGTACATGAAATGATATATGAATACTACTGCACCAAATTTAATGTAACACGAGTCTTTTTGGTGACTGGTGTGCCGCTTGTGCGCGACCCAAACTTAGAGGGCGCGAAACGCGCTCAAAGTGAAGTCAAAACTATTTATTTATACTTTTAGGATCGACATTAAAAACTAAAGATTTCTGCGACTAGGTGCTCGCAGCGTGCGTGGTCAGTGAGTCATTCACTGCTACCTAAGCAAAAATCTTGGCAAGAAACGGTACAAAACGTCTTAAAAAGCCATGAATCCTTGAATGAGATATTTAGAATGAGATAAATGTGTGGACCTTTACAATCAGACAATCAGTGATTTATCGCACGCACTTGCTTCGGACTGTGAACAAAGTCCGTGAACACGAGTATCATGGCGTGAAATCAATTTATCGATTGAAACACATATTTTCCCCTTACTTTGCAACTTGAAAGAGCCTTTCGTCGTTCCAGTTTTCGTTTACGGACCGTAACATCTTTGCGATTCGGTTGTGTTGCCGCATAAATAGGGTCTGTATCACAGTCAGTCCGGGTGACTGATTAACTCGACCGTCACCTGAAAATAAATGTTGAAGCGCATGTAACTAAAAAAGAACCGAGTTCACGCAGTTGGAGTTTGTGAATAAGTTGCGGAGTACTAGTTTTGATTCCTCCTTGTAGCTTAACGACAGTTGTTGGCCCTACCATAGAAATGGCCATCTCCCGTTCTCGTTAAAGCTACCGTAAGCGTTACGGACGAGTTTTGCTCCGTACACGAAGTTTATGGCTGACCGAATTCTGCCGCGGACTTAAGAGACGGAAATAATAAAACTCAGGATCGCATGGATACCAGCAGCGATCACATCTAATTTAGTTCACAGAAGAGTGGTAACTACTTTCTTAAGTGGACATAGCGTTACTGGTCGGAGACCATAAAAACACAGAAAGGCATTGAAAAAAAAGAAGCTAAATGAAAGTAAGCAATACCAATGTGTAATAACAAACAATAATCAAGCTGTCAGGCCACATTGTTTGACTTTTTGAAGTCCCTCGCATTCAAATCAGCAATTCCAAGGAAATATTTGTCAAGGGCTGATGTCTTTGAAATGATTTCCAAAGAGTCTTTAGGAATCGATGGGGCATCGTTCCCGAACTTACTGATGGTCTGTAGCATGGCCTTGTCGATAGCACAAAAGTACGATTGACAGAATTGAATCTGCTCTTAAAATGGTCATTTCATGCAACCCATTACTTTGCGAGAAATGCCTCTGCAGCGATAATTTATTCAGAATGAGTGATGCCATAACTTTGGTGTTAATGAAGCTTACCCGATGTGAAGCAAATTTTATCTTTGCTTGGGTCACTGCACCCGTCTCTTTCTGGATTTGAACTGGGTGGTAGAAGTTCTTCTCCATTCACCATACGGGAGCGCAGAAGTCCTAAAATACGAAAACGAGAAGAATGAAAATAAAATGGACCTCACTTTGTGCTTACAAAGTGATGCAGCACAAGATGACCGCTCGTCGCATTTTTTGACTGCCGGATACTAAAACGAGTTCATGTCAATCATGTCGAGCAGAACGTTATCTATGTTTGACACCTGGCAATGGCGTGCACGGTCTTGAGTGATGTTTCCATGTAATTGGAGGGAATTGGATATCCAGTAGTTCAAATCCACTTTGATTTACCGCTATAATAGAAAGTTTCGTAGCGCTGTTGATTCCGACACTTGTGTTATCTGTGTTGATCGGCACGCTCAGCACAATCATTATATGATACCTGATAGATGACGTATGAATGTGTTATTGATAAAACCTTGTTTTACCACCGGTGCGTGATCAATAGTCTTTGTTAATTTCGAGAGCAAGTGCCCGAGTTTTGATTTTGTCCCATTTCGCTGAGTATACATAAAACGTATTTGCATAAACGTACCTTTTTGAAATGAGCGAAGGATGTCGGTCTCTTCCTTTTTGGCACCATAAACAGCCGATGCGTCCAGGTATGACGTCCTGTCGTCTCTTTGCAATCTGTAACCTAGAAATATAATTGAGTTTGGTCAATGATATGAGGAAATACAGATTTTCACACCTTTGCCAAGCATGGTCTACAGCCTAACTTGCGCATACGCCACCTCAAGAGATGTTCATATCGTTCGCGTTTTCTTCTTAACCTCGCTGATCTTTTTTCACGTGTCGGACACCACGAGGGCGACGTTGGCCAGCGGCACCATTCTACGACTTGGATCTGCGCGCTTTGACGTTTTTATTACGCACGCCGTTATATGACTGACTCCCCTGAGATGAGTGAGGAGCTAAGGAAGTGCGTCACGAACAAACGTCACACGGCCGTTAAGCTTTAAGGGATTGCATCCCCTTAAATGTTGCAGAATTTAGTAAGTCTGCTAAATAATAATAGAATTAATTTACTTTATTCGAATTCCCATCGGCCAAGCTGTGTAACAAAGTAGAAACAAGAAGCACCTCTGCCTGACTGAAACCTTTACCCCCCCCCCCCCCCCCTCCCCCCCGCAGTTTACAGCAGTACACACGCTCTAGATACAATTCTAACAAAAAAAAAAAACACAGGTATCCGGTGGAAATAGATACCTCTGACACTTTTATACGTACATCGTACGGACAGATCTCCGAGAAAATAGTAAAATTAATCCAACATCCTGTGTAAAAGAAAAAAAAATTCTTAGCTGGTTTGCACCTTGAATTCACATTGACGCAAAGAGCAATTAGACTAATTTAATAAAAGTAATAACTTATGAAATGTTAGGACAGAAATACTCGTGCTTTAAAAATAAAGTCGGAAGCCCCGCACCCCACGCCTCTCAGTTTTGTCCGTAAAATTAAGGTACATTAAACCTCTTTTCATTTCAATACTACGCTCGACTCGCATCCCGACAGACGCCGAGCAAAGGTCAGCAACGCCGTAACTTGCCAACGCCAGTCTTGTTTTGCACTTGTGATAAAGAGGCAGCGAAGTCGCGAAGACACAGAAATGGCAGACTTTTATTTTGGCCTTCTCGGAAGAACGGGTCAAAGAAGGAACCAACGCATTTATCAACTGCCCATTCTAATATAAATGCACATTGGAGCTTAAAAGCTAGATTATAGATTGGCGTTTGAGCGTGAACGACAGCATTGCAGCTGCATCTGTTCGCTAGCGACGAGAAAACACGCTGGCTCCGTCTATCGAGGAGCGAGGAAATGCTTCAGATCTGCGTATATTTACGCATAATGTTTTCGCCACGTGCTTGAGACATTTACTACTCGTTACAAGTGAACATTTCTCAGAGATAGCGCAGAAATTGATCAGTCTTGGGTAGTAACGCGTTACTAGTAACGCGTTACTGTAACTTCGTTACTTTTTTGGTAACTTGTAACTGTAACGAGTTACTTTTTAAAAATGTAACTTGTAACTGTAGTTCTATTACTTTTTTTGAGGTAACGATGAAAGTAACGGCGTTACTTTCGTCGTTACTTTCCAGTTTCTTATGAATAATATATTACTGAACGAGGCACAGTTTAGCCATTCTTCGCGCTTTCCAAATTGTCTGTTCCGACATTTCGAGTATCAAGTGATTTTTTACACAAACTTGTGAATACGTTCTTTCTCGCCAGTCACGACCTGAATATAGCCGCGTGCAGATTTGGTGAAAAAAAAATGTAGTTATCTTTAGAACGCGCTTGTACTTTGTGACTGAACACTTACATCTTGGTATCTTGAAGAACTATCTCTTTTGCGTTTTTTTTTTTCTTTTTTCTGCGCAAACGCTTTTTAATCGGGTGAATCAAACATGCATCTCCAATACAGGCGGAGGGCACTGCGAATGTTTCGTATTTTGATTAGCGCCACCACTCCGCACTGCGAACGTTACGTATTTTGATTAGCGCCACCACTCCGGTGTAGTGTCAACAGTCGAGGCAAAATTTACTGCTGTTTGCGCGGGCTTTCTTTCTGTCTTGCCGGGTACGAACTGAAATATGTCCAGGGACTCTATGAACCCAGCGCGACCGTCAACGAGCCAGCAATGTGCTAGTGCTACCAAGGATATGAATGTTTACAAGAACAAAGAAGAACTACCATGGCCGGCGTACAGAGAGTATTTTGCTGTGGTGGAGGTGGTTACTAACAACTTGAACGCAGAAAACGGCACTCTGTTGTTTCAACGCCTACCCGGCAATCAAAAACCTGTTCCGGCGAAACAACACAGCAATGCCAACCAGCGCGTTAGACGAGCGCCTTTTCAGCAAGGGCAGGGACGTGTTCGTTAGCAAACAAGGGAAACTCTCAGACACTAATTTCGAGAAGCAACTGCTGCTAACTTACAATATGAAGTAAAAAGCACACTTTTTAATTTTATGCAAATGAACTTGGTGAAAAGCGTATTCTAGTTTTTCCTAAATTTTTTTTTGTGTTATAGAAAAGTAACTGAAAAGTAACGTCGTTACTTTTTAAAAGTAACTGTAACTGTAACGAGTTACTTTTTTGTTGCGGTAACTGTAACGGTAACTTCGCTACTTTTTTCTGAAAGTAACTGTAACTGTAACGAACTACTTTTTAAAAGTAACTTACCCAAGACTGAAATTGATACCGGTGTGCCAGTGTGCTTTCTCGTCGTAACTGGCCGCAGGGTTTTGCAGTCGATCACACTCAAATACGAAGAACCCGTTTTAAGACACGTGAGAAGGTTGAAAGATATCTTTTGTCGTTTTTATCTCACCAAGTTTGCATTCGAAGCACGGAGTCGCTCGAACAAGGTTAATGCAGCGCAGGCTGGTGTTTCCGTAGAAAGGATCGTCGTCCTCAATAGCGATAGGGATGCACTGGGGGGAAGCCCGCTGCGGGTAGTTGCAACAGCTGAGCGCGGCTCCGGGACCTGGAAAAGAAAAAGGGAATTTCGGATCGGCCGAACAATGGCTACTTTTTGTTAATATTCAACAGCTCTAGATTTTAAGATAGACGCGCCTGCGGCCGAAACCTGAATGCCCATGCGTTTGCGGGTTGCACCTGCATGCCCCCACTCCAGGTAACAAACATAATCAAAAGGGTAATTATGGCTACAGAAATTACCCAGGCTCAGTATCAAAGAACAATACAGTAACAATAAAAATAGTATCTTTCTTGAAGCCGTAAAGGCGTAGCAACTTGATGCGAAGCCACTGGATTAGAATGAGTCAATTATGAACTCTTAGCCTCTCGTCGTGGCAAGTCTGGATCCTCTGCACATAGTGTGAATTCAATCATGTGGTGAATAATTATTATTGAAGGTATCAAGATCTGATAATAAGACGTAAAATAAACTTGTTCTACTCCCGGTTTTTACGTGAATTGTACATTGTATTTATCTAACAAAGCTGGTCTTTTTTACATCGGAAATTAACAATTGGTTTCAACAAGAAATAGTCCAGGTAGTCGAAACTAATGGAACGATTTCAATGGTAGCAAACTGGAAGCTTCGGTACTGCAAGCTATATTTGGCCTAGAGATTTAATGAAACGCCTGCTTCCAGAATGGTTATGTCAACTGTCCCGTTTTCTCTTTCAGTCGTGCTGACAGACGTAGGGAGCACTTGGCATTCGTTACGCTCGAACATCGAGACAAATTATAATTAGGGCTGTAGAGGTAATCTTATATGCTGATGCACAATAGAGGCCTACAGCCCAAGAAAAGGGGGTGGAAACGAGAGGATATGAAAGGCTGCAAGGCGGTAATTGAGTCGAATATAAAAACTTCACGCTAAATGCTTTTATTTACCCAGGTACGACTGGAACGGCTTCCCGATGTCATTGACGGCAGTGGGTGTCCCCGACCTTGGTATCTGGCTCACGTCGTGGGTGATGAACTGTCCAAAAAGGACGGCCAGCTCGGTCATGTTGGGGCTGGAGATTTGTCGTGCTGGATGCACCGTGTAGGACACAACTCGTGGGGGCGGCAGGGGCTCTCCGCTGCTCGCCACCCTTGGCCTGTCGACGACTGCGTAGAGGTGCATTGGCGCGTGCCCGCGAAATATTCATATACGGTGTCAATATATCAAGCTTGTTTTGTACTATGAGCTGAAGCTACAACCTAAAAAGGCGACAGGCGTCCTATAAAAAAAGATATGCCACTCGCAGTTTCACAAAATAAAAGTAGAGTGACGCCAACCAAGTGGTTATGCCAACCAAGCCGTGGATACTTACGTCGGATGGCAATTGACGGAATATAATATAGAGTGATGTTTCGTTAATATGGACACTTCCGTTCCCCCCAACAGTCGAGCGTAATGTGAGTTGTCTATAATAACGAGACAAAAATCCGTGCATTTTCTCAGTTTGCACCCCGAAAAGGGTGTTCATATGACGGGGTATTCATATTAACGGGGGTCGATTTTAACGAGACGAGACTGAACTATACTCGAACATCTTCTAATTGTGTAGAGTGAGAAATTAGATAACCACGAAATGCAAAGTAAAATGGTGTTAAGGTTTAGTCTCCAGTATAGTCGTATGCCTGAATATATTTTCTTCCACGAAAATAACTTTTATATACAACCAAGAGCCGTGTCGCGCCCGCTTTAATAGTTGTTTTAACAATCCCCCCCCCCCCCTCCCCCTCAAAAAAAGGGAAGGATCAAATTTGAAGGCATTTTTCTCTAAAACAGTTGTGTCTAGAAAAATGTGTAGCATTGCGTATATTTGTGATCCTATTACAAATGGAGAGTAAAGCCTTACTGTCGCTGTAGTCAGGTCTGAGGAGCTTGCGCATGCAGGATCCCACTTTTCCCCAGTCGGTGTGCTCCTGATTATTGCAGCTGCCGTCCGGATATCTGAACGGGTAGCTGAAGTTGCAGCCTGTCGGAGCGGGGTTGCAGAGTCCCGTCAAGTTGGTTCCGTCCACAACAATGTCGGCCAATGCGTCAACCGCTCTCGCTGTTCTCTTAGACTTCGGGAGGCTGAAAAGCAATTGACGCACAAGGAGAGGAATGAACGGTGGCGAGTGACTTATCTCATGCACAATTTTCTTTTTAACTGAACCGCGTTTGCGAAGCCAAAGGCACGGACCTAGTCAGAAAATGAATTGACTCACGCGCAATCTGTTATTGAATAATCTGTCTCACGAAGCTTTGCTCAGCGTGGCTCATTGCACTTCTTAGGTTGATGCGAGTTTGCGCTTTACTCGATACTTACAACGTGCCCACATGAAAATCGTCAAAAACAGGAGCTCCAAGATAAAAATGGGGTATGGCGATTGACTCAAACTGGCCATGAACCTCTCGTCTTCATCTGCCAAGTGAGGTGTTTAAACTATTTCTGATGTTATCCACCCGCATCTCTTCCCTTTGCGTCTTTTAATTTAGCGCTGAAAACAGGTGCATGGAATGTTCGTAGGCAAGCGGTGCTCGGTCGCAAAACTAATGGAGTGTGCAGCGAACGCGCGAGACGCAGGTTGTGCGACTACAAGGGGTGATGCCGGTTAGATGACGAGGTGAAGTTTAAACTCTTTTCGATGCATTGTACAAAATTAGGGGAGCCCTGAAACCCTTTACAAAATTATAAGGGCTTTCATTCTGTAGCACTGTGGAAGAGTTAATATGCAGAATATTTAAGATATCTATCCATATTCATGTCGTTACCTTTTAAATGCACAGAAAGGAACAGTCGCTAATAGATTTCGTTGCCGTTCAAGTAGAGGCATGAGTATATGCCGCGGCCATCTTTCTAACATATCAAAATGAAAATAATAATAAATAAAATATACACCAACCAAATCCTCGTTTAAAGGCGGAACCCTACGTTTCAAGACCTGCTCGGCCTCTTCTTTAGGGGTTGACTGTGGCTATGGCCGTTGAGGAGCAGCATTCTGTGTTTCTTCTTCTTCTTCTACGGCAGCGCCTATCGTTTTGCATCGGTGAGGTGGCGAAATCCGTTCACGTAGACGGTCGGCAGAGTGCCGAGGGATCTGTTTATGTTTTCTGGCGCCGTTTGTATGTGCCAGGACTCAATAAAAAGTCTATGTCTGGGATTGGTCTCAACAGCCAGGATGCTGGTGTTGGCAAAGTAAATTTTGTGGTCATTGACGTTGCAGTGTTCAGCTACGGCGCTTCGTTCATGGTCGAACTTTCGAACGTCGTTCTTATGCTGGCGGATTCTCTCCTGAAAGTTCTTTGTTTCCCCAATGTATGCGACCGGGCAGTCCGCGCAGGGAATTTTGTAAATAACTCCTCGTGCTTTTTCTTTAGGCGGGCGACCCTTTGGACGGGGCATGAGTCTTGCAAGCGTAGACATCGGCTTGTGGGCCACCTGGATCCCTTCTTTGGCCAGTACACGTGCCAGCGCCTGGCTTGTTCCTTTTACGTAGGGAACGCTGATGGGTGAGGTAGGACGGGTCTGCATTTGTACTTGCTGGGGGTCGAAGGTGTTGGCGATCTCGGGCTTGATGACGGGCGATGCGGTGGATAAAGCTGCTGGTTTAACCATTAAGTTTTAGGTCGGCGAAGATGGTGTGTTCCCCTTTTTTGCGGTCAGCTTCAGATGAGCAGATATTTTTTGACCCGAGTAAGAGCGTTCTAACCACTAATGCCTTGTGACAGGCTGGGTGATTGGAATGGCAAACTAAAAAGAATACGAAGACACTGTCTGGGGTGTCTTGTTTCCTTTCTTTTTTCATTCTTTTTAATTTTACTGAAATAAATTCTACAGGCGCCCACAGCTTTCTTATATCCATATGATGAAAATGAGGCCTAGGTGGACGTCGGCCCATAGCTAATTTTTTCCGTTTTTATCATTTAGGGATCCAGCTAAGGTCATGTGCTAAAATTTTCGCATTTTATCGCAACCACTGGCGTCACTTTCTCACGGAGTTTCAGGTATTTGCGATGCGCGGTTTATTTACCCGGGCCAGAACACCGGGTTTAATTTTCTCAATTTCCGCCTGTAGATCGTCTGATAGTCAAGCCTTCAAAGGACGCCGATGGTTCCCAGACTGGGGCCCGAGCAAAGCATTTTTTTTCTTGCAGTGGTAGCTCCTAGCGACCCTTTACTGCCAAAAAATGCTAATGTACGCATGCAAAACCCCACGCTACAGCAGAGGCACTGCACTCCCTCGCGCTCTGGTTCCTCACAGATACACGCCACTTGCGGCAGGGCTCTTTTTCTCTCCCCCCCTCCCCTGTGCAGCCGCCGTTGCGAAATCCCCACGTGGTCAAGCTGCGCGGACACGCTCGCTCGCCTCCCCACTGCCGCCGCCCAGGTTCCTTCTTTGTGTACCTCCCGCGCCTCTGTAGAACAGCTCGCGTACGTACTTTAGCTTCTTCTACCGCAGGCGCGGTCACTGGCGCCCCGTTATAAATAAACTTAAAAAAACACAAAAAAACCCTTTTGGTGTTCTTTTCTAACAGATGCAACATCTCGCACAATCGTCCTGCTAAACCACACATGTCGCACACGTCTCCTACATCAATTCCACAGAAAGCAAAGAACCCATTGCAAGCATTGTAGAGCACACGGCAATTGAAGGCAAGTCTCCTTCAACATGTCTTTCAACAAATCAGCAGAGACCGCTGTCAGTCGCCGCACACTTTCTGTCGTCTTTTGATCCACGTTGAACAGACTAGCTTTCGATACACGGCTTCTTGCAGACGTCTATACCTGAGCAATAGTTGCCGACTGGTCTCCTGGAAAAGTTCGGCAAGGCGTTCTTGGCGGTCGTACTCTTCGCCACTCTCCACTTCCGCTGCCCGCGAAGAAGCGAAGGGACAACTGGCTGACCTTCGGCGCCGTGGTCCTGACGTGCGGGGGTAAGCATATAATCAATCAACACAAGTTGCTAATAAAAAAAAAGAAAACTTTTTTGCTGCCAATACACTTTTCATGTGTACTTTCCCGCAGAGGCCACTTTTTTCGGGACCTGCGGGGAATTATTCATAGTTACTGACAACGTAAGAAACACGGGGCGTCGAGAGTCCCGAGCGCCTCACTATTGCTCCGCCGCCAGCGAAATTCCAGCATTAATCGATAAGAAAGCCGATGAGGAAACTACGATAAAGCAGCGAGAACATAATGAATCACTGTCTGCGTTTCTCAAGCTGGCGGTGGTTATAAATACTGACAACTTAAGAACCGAAGGTTATGTTGCGTCGAGGGCACTTAACTAACGTTCCGCAGCAAATGAGGTGGCGGAATAAGCCGTAGGGGTACCGAAGGACTAACCACGGAGAAAGACGGGAGAACCCATTAGCCTGGTGTCCCTTAAGTCGCCCCTCGACTATAGCTACGAGTTCATCTTTTGAAAGAAATCAGACGAGGCGTGTGAATATTTCCACGTACCTTGTCCCTGGGGGCCGCTGCTTGCATCGATGCTTTGCACTCCTCGCTGAATCATTTCTCTCGCCCGTTCGGTCAGCTCTCGCATGTCGAGCCAGTCAGAATGGTGGCTGGTAGCAGGCGCGGAAGCCGCGCACAGGTATACCAGGAAGATCGCCCTGAAGCACAAGACACGTCGAAGCACATAATAGAAAGCCCGAGCAACGAGCTACTACACGGTGCATTGTTTAGATAGATTGTCTGGGTTTCAGCCTGTAATGGGTGTCCCCCCCCCCCCCCCCCGAAAAAAAAATTACAGGTATATTTTCTTACCGCAAAAAATGTATGCATCGCAGAATACCCGTTCTTCGCTCAAATTGAGCACTAGCGGCCGAAACCACACGCCAAAGCTTCAGAACTGTGACCTGACTCGAAACTCATCAGTGCCTTTTTGAACATTTTGATCTGGAAATTGGGGCTTGTATCCGCCCGTTTTCGCTAACTGCCGCTATTTAGCTCCACGTATTTGAAAGATCCGCCGGCCGCCATTTTTCCATTAAAAATTTCGGAGCATCGCTTAAAACTTTAGATT